CCTGAAAACTATCCCTGCTAGGCCTTAACTTGGATCAGGTCATAAAAGAATGCCTCGCCAGATTTGGTTAGTGCAGACCAGGAAAACATTCCTCTTAAACACGGTTTATTGGTCTCTATCAGTTCAGTTCTTCAGTTTTAGTAATCTAAAAAATCTATCTGAATATGCTACTACAAATATTTTAAGGCTTGACAATACAAATAAAGCACAAAATTCGACAAGAACATCAATTTTATTAAAAAACGTCTGCCCTATCAAAGACCACAGGTCTTTCAGCTCAGCATCCGGAAGTAAACATACATGTACACCAGCTAAAATTTGGCTCACAGAGCGCATAAAACATCAGACCAGCCCCTGCCGTTTGGGGCGATGGACTTTGGAGCGACCGCTTGCTGAAGATTGGTGATATTGCTGGGCCTTCAACTTCAATCGACTGAAGCACAAAAGTTACTTTCAATCCTTTCTTGAAAGCCAAATCAAGGCGGCCACATGAACACATTCAATATATGAGACAGAGAAGAGAGAAACGGTACCATCAAGATGAAGGCCAAGTCGGTTCTAGGCATCGGGCATCGGTAGGCAGCAGTGGCAGTTAATAGTGTTCTGCTAGCCATGCCATGCACCTCGATTTGGATTTAGAATGGAAAAATATTGGGAGTCTATGCTTAATAGTAAGTAGTATCAGTCTCATAACAGCAGTCCTTAAAGCAGATTTGTTCTTATCATATTTTCCCTCAACATTTGTTATTCATTTGCTTTCAGATTCCCAAACTTTTGGTAAGGTAGAGAATACTGAAGCAGCTACCCTGTAAAACATGCATCCATGATGTCTATAAACCTGCACCAGTGCATGCTTTTGCTGAAATGGCAGTGCTTGCTACTATTTGTACTACCCTACTTTTCCCTTGGGTCTGGCATGTTGAGTGCGGTGGAATCCAACACAAATTGGTTGTTGGGCTCGCCAACATTGACTTGAAAGGGTTAAACATGATGTACTCATATTCCCTCCACATAGTCATGTACTCCCTCCGTTCCTAAATACTTGTCTTTCTAGGCATTTCAACAAGTGACTACATACGGAGCAAAATGAGTGAATCTACACTCTAAAATATGTCTACATACATCCGTATGTAGTAGTCATTTGAAATGTCTAGAAAGACAAATAGTTAGGAACGGAGGGAGTATCAGTCAACCAGAATATATTCCCTGCATATGGCAATCTCTCATGATTTTTTCAGTACAAAAAATGTCTCACAGATTAACCCACACAGTGTATTAAGGTCATTTAGTTGTGTCTACTAACAGTAGCTTACTAGACGTTTACAAATTCCCCTCCCTCCCCTTTTCAGCCAGTGTGATGTAATCTAACCTGTAGGAATCTTCATTTACAGAATTATTTGCATTTGTTGTTGTTCCATCCACTTTTGCAGCGACATTCTTGAATCTTGACTATCAATTTTTTCCTTCGCTGTTAAGCTATCATCAGACTGGATATTTATGGTGGAACTTCATGCTGTGATTTCAGTGTGAAATGACTGGTTTTGTGATGTGGGTGACGAGCTACTCACATTGTTCCTGTTCGCTGTTGGGTATGTCATTGGGAGCAGTATCAGTTCTATCTCACAGTTCATTATGCAAGTTATGAAGGTAGTTTCCACAGTAGAAGATGCTCCTTCCGTCCGGAAATACTTGTCGGAGAAATGGATGTATCCAGACGTATTTTAGTTCTAGTTACATCCATTTTTATCCATTTCTCCGACAAGTATTTCCGGACAGAGGGAGCAGTACTTAGCTTCACATTTATTAGCATCGGAAAGAAGTAATCCTTTGTTACTTGTGGATCTTTAGAATGAACATAAAAAAAATAGGTGCGGGAAAATAATACAAACAATTGAGAGGAGCAAAAAATGAAGTAGAGTAGACGTTGAAAAAAGAGTGTCCATGTTATTCTTCATCTAATGATATATCACACAAATAACTTCAGTTGGAAATTTTGAAGATATTGCCATGTTGATAGCAACACAAATTCAGTCATAAAGGTATTATTTATGCTTATCTTCTCAGGGGTGCTTGAGTAGTTGAATCAACCCTTGAAATTTTCTTGGACCAGGATGTAGTTTGTAAAAATCTTAGATTCTTTGGATCGTGGTAACACAATTCTGAATAATTTTCTCAGTCATGTGCATTGTGGAAAAAATGAGCACAAAGTATTATATTGAAACAACGACAGACTGAAACTCATGTTGTTTATCCTCACCTCTTGACTAAGGAAAACAGATCAACTATTGGAAGGGCATACACAATGTCCTTTCTTGCTTCAAATAGTCATACAGAGTAATACAGAATGATCACACTGTAGTAGGGTTACCGAACTTCACAGAATTTCCATACTTAGCTTCAAATAGTCATACAGAGTAATACGGAATGACCACTGTACTAGGGTTACCGAACTTCCAATTCTTGAATGCAGGAAAGCGGTGAACACATTCAGACTCAAAGAATCTTTTGATGTAGCAAGGAGGGCGAAGGAAATGCACTGTATACATGTTCGGGCATTGTGAAGGTATTAAGTACATCAGGCGTTCACAATGCTAGTTGTTGAACATCTCATATGCTATCTGTTATTCTGTTTTCCAGAAATTTTTAAGTCTTTATAGAAAGGAAGTTTCCTCTTTCATTCTCAGCTGAACAAGCTTCCTGAAAGCAATGCAGTTGGCTTCCTGTGCTAGTATATCAGCCAGCCACTCGGCTTATGTATTGACATTTTAGCACCTTACTGGCACGGGCTTAATTGTGTAAATCCATGCTATTGAGATGTTGTGTCAAATTTTGTTTTCCTCTTACCATTTTCAACCATTACTGATTGTTAAATTATCATGTTTTTTTTTTCTTGTCCGCTCTAAATCATTTTCTTTGTAAGAAGCAATCCAGAAAGAGCAATAATAATTTTATCTTTGTGCTTGTTTTGTATCAGGAATTTAATAAGCTTGACAGGGAGCCCTCTAAGTACATAAAATGCTTGACTGGCATCAAACCTGAACTGGCGCTCCCCATACACATGTGACATTGGACACGAGCGTTTCTTGAGCCCTGGGGTTAGTAGCACATCAGTGTGTTCTCTAGTTACTTCTGTGGTGTCATGTCTTATTTAGGCTCACCTTTTACAAGAACTGTAAAAACAGTGTCATAAGTTTTTAGCGTTCATTTTGGCCTGCTTGAAAGTTTTAGCGCCATTAATAAACTCGAGGCAAAGTTCAGGGTAGTTTACACTTTATACTAAAAAGTAAAATTTGACCTTATGAATAGTGAAATGCGTTTCTCAAAAAAAAAAGAAGAAAAAAGAATAGTGAAATGCAGTTTAAACCCCTTGTAGTCTCGGTGTAACCGTTGCAGACAATATATTCCAGGGGATCTTGGAACTTTTTTGCGATGTATTCCATTTGAAAGCTCGTCTTAGTTCAATCTTCTCAGAGTGCTGCATAATATATGTAGATATTCTTCCACCCCAGGATTTACAACAATCACCTTACCACTCCATTGCAGCATGTTATAGACAAGTGCATCCAATCATCCCTAGTTGACACATGGAGAGCTCTTTATAAGGTTTGTACATCAAATCTTGTTTTCTCTGACATTGCAGTTTTGAGTCTGTTGTCATCACAGAATATTGTCTTGTCTGGAGTGTCGACTATGTTTAATGATTTCGACTGAAGATTACACCGGGACCTGAAAGACCCGTACATCTAGTGCTCGATTTGGAGATATGAAGGTATAAATTTCCCTTATTTGCTGTTGTCCTCTCTTTTTGGCAGCAAAAAGCAATGACTTTCTTGTAGTTTTGGAACTTGGGAGTTGAGCTAAATTTATTGGTTTCAGGCTCAACCTGTGGAAGTAAACGTGGTTAGTCATCCAATTCTTTGGCGAACCTGTGCTTGCTTCTACAGCGGAATACTGTGAGGTATGCAAGCTTTGTCTCCATACAGCAGTAACAAAACCCATATCACCTAAAATTTCTTAGTTTGGTTAGAGTAAAATTTCTTGAGTTTTGCTTCCATACCCACCCCCAACCGACTTGGGTGAGAAGCTAGACATCGAGCCTAAATTTGGACTCTCTTTTTCGATGGGTCCGTCAATATTGATGGTTCATGAGCTGGGATCTTAATCATCTCACTAGATGGAGGATGCTTGTGATATACTCCCTACCTGCAGTAGGGAGTAGTAGGCTACAGTGTGCATTTCTGGCTACCAACAATATGGCTGAGTATGAGGAGGGACTGCTTTGTTGGTTTGGGAGTAGCTTCTGCCATTGCCGTCCACTACCTGCATGTGAAAAGGAGACTAGAGTAAAGCAACGGAGGCGAAATCTCACCAAGAAAGCGCAGCAGACGCCGAAGAAAGTGCAGCAGCAGGACGAAGCAGCCAACCACCCACGACGGAACGACGGCCAGCGCGAAGCCGTCGCCGCCGCCGCCCGCGGGCAGACCCCCGACGACAGTAGCAGGGAGCCGCACAGGACCACTCAGCGCGTCCAGAAGCAAGGAAGAATGCGAGCGAAAAAGGGCATCAAGAGCGACGCAATAGGCAATAGCGGCGAAAAACCCTAGAGGCCGCGACCTGACACAAACGCATTGCTTTTTTTTTTTCTGAGACAAACACAAACGCATTGCTGACCCCACGACCACCGCACACCCGCCGCGAGCACATAAGCAGCCCATCGACCGGCCCACACCCCATCGCCCACCGCACAATCCAAAAGCCAAGAAAGGCCCACACGTCATCGTCGAAACTTGGAAGGGATATATAGATCGAGATCTCGATCTCAATCTCTCCTCGCCTATATCTTATCTCCCGTGAAAACAGCCACCGCACCCCTGCGCCTATCCAAACCCTAGCCACCCCCCTGCGCCTATCCAAACCGTCGCCTATCCAAACCCTAGCCACCCCCCTGCGCCTATCCAAACCCTAGCCACCCCACCCCGGCGCCTCCCGATCCAGCGACCATGGTCTTGCCTGGATCCGCCGCGGCCGGCTGGATGATGCTGGACCGCTTTATCTACCACAGGGGCGAGGACGGCGACTGCAACGGCTGGTGCTTCCCGGACGAATCCATGACGCCCCTGAGGGCCACTTCGTCCACCTCCGTCGGCGAGCCCTTCGACGTCGCCATCCTCCACGCCGAGCCCCCTGCAGTCTCCCGCCTCTACCTGCGGTGGCCCGGCGGCGGCACCAACAGAAGGGGCGCCGAGCTGGCTGCCGCACACCGCGACCTCCTTCTCTTCCGGTTCGTCTACGTTGACCTCCACGTCACGTTTGACAACTTCGTTTGCGTGGCATCCTCAGATCCTGTGCCGCACATCGAGTTCAAACGCCTTCCCCTTTGCACCATACCAATGGTCTTGCCTCCGCTTTTCAAGGAAGACACGGAGGTAATCACTACACGTCGAAACTTTTTGCCCAACAGTCTAGGGCTCGTTCGTGGATCATCCCCTGGCCATGAAGATGAGTTTGTCGTGGCACAGCTGGCTAGTATCACTAAGATACCAGGCCCAGACGACATGATGGAAGCTGAAGTGTGCATGATCCGCTCTCGTGTATCAGCTATGGATGATGATGGCACATGGGAGCTTCATAAGATACCCATCCAGCACAAGGAGCATCAATACTTGAGACTCGTCGATTGGTCGACTAGCGCTGTCACCACGTTCAACAACTGTATTTGCTGGATTTCCTACTACACAGGAGGTATTCTATTTTATGATGTATTCGCAAAAACGCCTACCATCTCTTATCTAGGGTTACCTACCCATCACCGTCCTGGATACCGAGAAAGAGGTTTCCTTGAGGTGAACCGCAGCATATGTGTCACTGGTGGGGGTGATCTCCTCAAGTATACCTCTGTTGTTCGCACCGATGGTCGGCTCTGTGGCCCACTTGAACATCGCCAGGGTTACAAAATTATCACTGATGTTTTGAAGGCAACGGAGAGTGTTGACATGGAGTGGGACCGGGATACGTTTGTGACAGCTTATGAATTCTGGCGTCACAACACCTCTGAGCGTCTCCCGCGCGATGCTGTCCCCGAGTACCCTCTTGTCAGCATGGACGACCCTAGTATTATACACTTTTTGCTGTCTGAGGAAAGAGAGAAGATTAACAAGGTTTCGGTTGTTACGATGGATATGGTTACCAACAAAATGATTTCAGTTGTTCCATATATTAAAGGAGAGGAAGACCTCGATGGCGAAGATGCCGACATGGTCAAAGAAAAATCACACCTTCTCAAGTCCTTCCTTACATCGGAGTTCCCCAAGTTTCTCAATCTCACAAGGTATTGATCTGTGCACTGGATTTATTTTTAACTGTTAAAACATTTTAGATACAAGTCAGTGATGATGTAGCCTTTGTAAAGTTTAGTTTGAAGCAGCCCCATATGACACGATATCTCTAGCGCTATATATTTCATTTATAGTGTAATCTCTTGTCATGCCACTTTTTGAAGTTATCATACAATTGCAGCCTAGAGCTTGTTGAGGCCCATCTCCTTGGAGAACATATTTGTTTGGAAATTTAGTTCTACTCCGAAGCTAAAGCTATGCTAACTTAGTTGCCTTATTAAGAAATTCGTAAGGTCCAATATATATGTTCAGGTCCAAATCCAGTGTTAAATATTCTGTACAGTTAGCATTTGGTGACTAAAGTTTTTTTTTTTCTTTCAGGGATTGCTGAACATCCAAAAGCTTGAGGATTCTGTGCAATTAGGTGTCAATTCCATGGTTTGATTGCTATACTATGTTCTGCTGTCGAGAATAGAGTGGCGATGTGTTAATCCATCTGATGATCACATGGACTTGGTGAGGAGATGGTCTGGAGTTTGCTGAAATTTGGACTCTGTGTGTGTTCTCTACTTGCTGTGCCAGTCTTGTTAGTTTTGCAAACTTAAATGGCACCCCAGTTTCGTTCGGCGCTGAGAGATATGAACTTCTGTAGTTTGATCAACTTAATAATAGTGTTTTGAACTTCTATTTCTAAGTATCAATAGTTCAATGAGTTCTTGAATTTCATTAGGTATTTAGGTGTTTTAAGGCCATCTTAATTATTATCCCAGTTATTATTAGGAAGCAAACCAAGTTTCATCATCCTGGACAGTCCTCACGAGTCATCCAAGTTAGTTGATTAAACTATTGTCATTCCAGTTATACAACCAAACAGCTGTACCTACCCGGTTATATTGAATTTGAATATTTTTTTGTGGGAATCTTGAATTCCTGTCCTCGCAATCCTGGGTCCGTCACCGCCAACTGCTCCAAAATGCAGGTGATCACCTCTGTCATCGTTGCTTTTCGCCCTTCCCGGAAGTTCCAGACCTCATTCATGATGCGCCGCTTGTCAGGACTATACTCGTTGAGCTCTCTCAGTGCATCCTTCACTGCATTGCAGACGCTGTCGCCATTATCAAACGGCAGCTTGCTTAGTATTGGATCATTGTCATCTATAACCTCCTGCAATTGTCCAAAAACACCCTAGTGATTATTCACACAAAATTCAGAGAATTTAAGGGCATGAATGCTGTAGGGAAATTGGAGACACCTTATCTTCTTCATCGACCTGAATAGTAAACGGACGCCATGATGGCTTCTGTGTTTCCTCCTGCCAATACGAGACCAAACTTGCAGCTTTACCCTCTGGGTCATTGTCCCTGTATTTCAGATTGCATGCGGCGCGAAAAGGATTCTCATCAAGTTGGCCCATCCTTTTGATTCCAACAACGGCGCCCCCACTAATCGGCATGTTCTCAAAACCCTGCACATTATCATCATCATTTCAATGAGGAAAACCTCTAGCAACAATGAAACTCCTTCCAATGAGGAAAACAAAGCAACTAGTAGAATTTTAAAAAACTATCGGCTTTTACTTTTACCTGAATCAACTCTTGGCGATTCTCTTGGAGCTCTTTGTTGTTAGCCTGCTCTCTTTTGAAGAGGTCTAGCAATGGAACTTTCATCCTTTTCCCTTCCTCATCCAGAATATTTCTCACATACGTCATTACTGCAAAAGACGTTGATGGTCTTCCTCTGCGAGCATCTCCCCTGCTTGTAGTTTCATGTTCAGCTGCCGCGCGATGAGCACTAGGGCTTTATCCCTTTGCTCCAGTTGCCTCTCAAGTTGAATTAGCTTGGCATGAATAGCCTCCATCTCTTGCTACAAGGCGAGTTCTAGCATGGTCAGCTACTTTGATGGAGCTACTAAGAATTTGATGCAGATGAGCTTATCGATTGTCCTATCAAAGAGAAGAAGAAACCTTGTGGTTTTCATAGAGCATGATCAGCCACCTTGCAATCTCCATCTCCCAGTTCCGATGTGTTGATCTCCAAAGCACCCTGTGTATGTGTAGGGGAGTTCTGCTAAGACCATAAAAAGGACATGAACCGGGTCATATTGCGTGGAGAGCTCGGTCTGTTAGTTATGAATGTAGCAATAATCTAGCTAAAAGAGCCCATATTTGTCTAGAGTTTCCACTGAAATCATCTTAAGCTAGCGCTCTCTAATACTAAGGGGAATACTGCCTGAGTAGCATCTGGATTGAATGAGGGACTGATGCTGAAGCTAATTCTAGCATTTAAATTGGGAGTACAGATAGAGCCTATATTTGACTATTTGTCTAGAGTTTCCACTGAAATCATCTTAAGCTGACGCTTCCTAATAGTACTAATTTAGGGGGAATACACTAAAGCTAATTCTAGCATTAAAACTGTGAGTGCAGATAGATGATTTGAAATTGATGATGTTTTAACTCCCACCTACATGTTTTGGCTTCTAAAGCAGGGCAAGTACACTCTGATACTGCCTCCCTGAGCATGTGTTGTCCATGATCAGTAAAAACATAATTCAGCATTCAACATATCATGCTTTTCACGCCCTTTTCAGCCAGACCTGAGCATTCAACATTGCTGTCTGTAACCCATTTATTTTGATAACAGCTGATATCGGTGTCCATTTGCAAAGCCACACTCTGAATGAAAACTCAACACTCTGAAAACTGAAAGTAAACTGACACTGATGCTAGTTCTAGATGATTTGATTTTATACTGTGTTTGGTTGGCTCATTTCAGTGTCTCTCTGAACATATATGATGTTGATGATCACTTCAGTAACAAAGTTCGGCACTCGGCTGTAAAATTTTGGGTACAAACATGCAATTCAGGCCTCACTCATCTGAGGCCACGCATCCGTAACTTTTTGTTAGGTACTGAACTACTGATATTTGTAAAAAGACATTGTAGAGCTGAGTTAAAAAGTTGAGCACTCTGAAAGTAAGACAGTATTTTAGAGTTCAGGTGAAAAATGGCATGAGCCTACCTTCTCCAGCTCCAGCAATTCTGCAATCTTCTCCATCTTCCACTCGAGCTCTTTCGTCGCGGCGTCCAGTTCAGCTCTGAGCCTCTGATTCTGCTCCTTCGGATCCTCACAGTTCAGCTCTGGTATGATCTCGTCAGATATGATCCTCAGCTCTGGCAGGTAAAACCACCCAACGATTAACACTTGCCTAAATAATCAGATCATTATCGAGCTCACAGCAAGAGCAATCCATGGATTATTACCGGCGAGCTCGTCGATGAGGCAGCTAATGTCCTGCTCCGCCGCCCGCACCGCCGCGGCCGCCTCCTCGCACCTAGCCTCCAGGAGCCTCGCCCTCGCGTCGTACTCGTCGGCGATGGCGTCCTCGGCCCTCTTCACCGCGGCGGCCAGGAAACTCCCCGCGGCGTCATCCCCGTGCAGGTCCATGAGGTGGTGGTGGAGCTTGGGCGGCACCGCTTCCTGGGCTAGCGTAGCGGTCGTGACGGCGGCCGGGTGCTGCTGGGTGTCGGAGGCCAGGGCGCTCTCGGTGGCGAGGTGGTGGTGCGCGTCGGAGGCCAGGGCGCTCTCGGCAGCGAGGTGATGGTGCGCGTCGGATGCCAGGGCGCTCTCGGCGGCGGGGTGGTGCTGCGCGTCGGAGGCTAGGACGCTCTTGGCGGTGGGGTGGCGCTGCGCGCCAGAGGCGATGGCGTCGAGGACCTCGCCGGCGTCGGCGTTGGCGTCGGCCATGGGCACGTCGTCGTCGCTTGACATGCAAATGCAGAGTGGGTTTGCGTTGGGTAGGATGGATTTGCACTTTGTGTAGTACTACAACAGCACTAGTTCAGTCGATGGTTTATTAAATTCAGCGCATTTCTTTTACAGAACTTTCTTTATCATACCATCTTCATGCACAAATATCTTCTCTAGAATTATTTTAAGCATTGTTGTCGTCCAGCGAGAAATTATGCTTGACGAGTGTTGTCAGCATGATGCGAGTGTTGGATAATGAGCAACTATCTTTACCGAAAAAGGGTTTCCCCACTTTGTATTACAAAGCAACCAACATCGATCACATAGCAATGCTCGGGCGAAAAGCACAACAAGCCCAAAAGAAAAAAAGAAAGAACAAAGAAGAAGAAAGAAATGCCAACAACGGCAGCTCGACAAAGTGTGGATGACCCGCCACCGCTGCGCCCTCCGGAATCGACCCACCACAAACCAAGGCTCCGATCCGCCGCCCAAGCAGCACCTTCAAGAAGGGATGCGACGCCGACGACTGTGCTGCTCGGACGTGTCCTAGGGTTTCCCTAGGTACGCGGAAGAGTGGGGGAATGGATACCTCCGACACCCTTTAGGAAGGAATGGTGGTATCCGCAGATGTCACCGCATCAGAGCCGGAAGAGCTGGCAAGGGATTTCTCCGTACTCCAAACCCCACTGCCCAAGAAGGCCGGAGCCAACCAGCCACATCGCCGCCCACCAGCATGCGTCACCGCGGTCTTGACGCCACCCACGCCGCCTCACTGAGATCACCACCACGACACCAAGAGGATGGAGAGAGATGCACGAGGCGACGGGAGCAGCAGCACCAGAGCCACGCGGGAGGGAACTACCTCCACCCCCGTCGTGCGGGAGGCCCGAGTCTCCGGTACCGCCGCGGTCCCAGTCCGGACGCAGCAGCAGGGCATTACTAGGCCACACTGGCCCCGCTAGGCCCAAATCGGGCCCGTAAAGCCCCGCCGGCCACGCTGCAGCAGGGCGGCACCAGCGCCACCAGCCACCACCCGCCCATCGTCGCTCCCTGCCTCCCAAAAGCCACGCCGACGACCCTCCCCGCTGCCAGCCCGCTCAGACCCAGATGGGGCCCGGAGGGCCCAGATCTGGGCCGAGCAGGCGCCACCAGATCTCTCCATCTCGCCACCAACGGCAGTGCCGCCGTCCAGTAGATTGCCCGCCACCACGCAGGAGAGCCCCGCCGCCGCGCCGGACCATCGCCGCCTAGGAGTACCCCGCGGCGCTGCACCGCCCCGCGTCAGTGTGACCCGAGAGGGGAAATGCCAGGGGCCGCCGCCACCAGCGCCACCCGGACCAGGCCCAGCGCCGGACGCCAGCGACGGCGGCAAGGAGGGAGGGAAGGGGGAGAGCTTGGGGAGGAGGTGCCGGGGGCGCGGTCGGTCGCCCGCGGAGGCGACGTGGTCGCGAGTGTCTGTTCCATCTTAGCAACTACCTTTCACAAGGGGCCAAAGGCCAATACATGTACATGTATGGTAAAGTGCAAGAAGCCCCTTATACATTGGAGATATACAGAAAAAGAGAGTATACACATCTAACCCCCCTCCCTCAAACTCATGGTGGATCAACAACACTGAGTTTGGAGAGAAAGAACCCATGCTGTGCTCGAGTCTGTGCCTTCTTGAAGAAGTC